GAATTGTAGTGTAGTATCCTTTCATAGTTAGCTCGATTTCAGATTATCTCGGGTGGTAAATTTTAACGTTTGGAAGAAGTGTCCCCTGAAATTTATACATTTTCTTTAAACACAATGAAACATCTTCGATTTCATTGAAAACTAAAATATAGGGATGACTAATTAATTTTATTGAGAATGGTTTGTATATTTAAAAATGAGGTAGCAGTATACAAGCCCAGACTGGCATTCATTTCTTGGGTTTTAGTGGCAACAGCGGTATCGTCTCCGGCTTCGAGACCAGAGCCAACATATTGGAGGGAAAAGTTAAATGTTATAAACGGAAAGAAATCAGTATATTTGTTCTGTTTGACCGACTCAGTGGTCGTTTTATTTTATTGTGGGAAATGTCTTTACTGTAAACAACAAGAAAAGGAAGAATATGAGCAACGAGAATAAGAACCGTAGCAACAAAACTAACAACGGAATGAATGATAATAATGATAGGATTATAATGATGATAATGATAATGATATATTATTGATACTGGTAGTGACCACGATGATGATGATGATGATGATGATGATGATGATGATGATTAACCGTTATATGCCCAAGAGCGCCAGACTAGCGCAGTAATGTCTTACAAATCTTCCTGGATATTCACAGTTCTCTTTAGAAAGTCACTTATGCATTGTAGCCTCTGTCCCCCCAGGCCCCGCTGCTGACGTAGCCAGGTGTGACAGAAGCTACAATATATCTTTGCTTTTATATTATGCTGCCGTATTATTAACATACATGGAAAATTAAGCTGGGTACAGTCGTATTTCTTTGTCGTAACTGCTGCCCCAAACCCTAGTTGGACAATGACCATATAAGATCGCTGTGAATTCGCGTGTGACGTAAATCAGAATATACAATGTCACTGTTATTGCACATTCTGCATGTGGTGAAGCTGTTATTGCGCATTCTGCATGTGGTGGTCAGGGATTCACTAGATGCAACTGTAGTGGTCTGAAGGACTGTAAGTGTTTCAAATCTAAAGCGAAATGTAACTCTCGGTGCCATGGAAGTGTCAACTGTGCTAATAAATGCTGATTGTTGAATAACTGTCGGGTATCCAGATAGCAATGTAATGAATAGTTATAATATAGCAATATATGTATGTTCTTATGAATGAACAAATGTATGCTCTTATGAATAAAATGAATGTTATAGATACCAGTTGCCTTTTTTATATTATTATTATTATTATTATTATTATTATTATTATTATTATTATTATATATACATACATTTATATGTAAATATATATATATATATATATATATATATATATATATATATATATATATATATATATATATATATATATATGGTCGATGTGACCCTTGGCGACGTGTGTTGGATTGGTGATTAAGCATTCAACTTCTCGTGGCATCCCAAAATATATATAAGTACGTGACTGCCGCGATAGTCAGTGGTTAGAGCACTGGTCCGAGTTTTATTCCGCGTCGCGGCAGTCGTAAAATGCCTGCGCCCCGACTGCTGGCTTGAGCCCGATCTCACGGCGAGAAAACGACAGTTCGCCTTGAGAAGTCAAACGCAAGTTTCGTAGGGGAAGTCACCGCCGTGGCATGAGCATTCCCGCCGAACCGCGGTTGATTAAGAAGAGCATCCAATCAGGCAAGGGTGGCACTGCCAAATAACCTCTCAATAGTGAATTGAGAGAGGCCTATTATAGCGCCCACCCCTTTTCTTTCCTTTGCTCTGGGAACCACTCGGACTTTGACTAGAGGATCTGTTATCACAAAGTGTGGTTATACCTTAAGAATCCACACTATAAAAGAAAAAAATGTCATATAGGTTACTTATGATCTAACTTCAACCTTAGAGGTAACTGAGAGAAGGGAAGCATCAAAATACTTAATGAGCTTACAATATTTGCTGATATACTGAGACATGAATAATTACACTTCTACAATAAAACAAAAGAAAATCATCTACCAAAATATCCAAGTGTGTGTAATCCAACCTGTCACTCTTTACACTTGTTCTTTTTCTCATATATCTTCTATCCTTTCCTTCATCAATGCCATGGACTCCCAAAGATTGTATATTCTTTCATTCTTGTTCACAGCACCAGGGACGTGAAAACCAAAATCCAACAAAACCAAACAAACAAGATAGAAATATATAGAATAATAATGCAAAATTAATAAAATAAAGTATCACATTTCTAAGAAAAAATAATAAGTACATTTATCTTACATAGCTAAAGACTAAATCTGAGTTATACAGAATTGACAACATATGCATAAAGATCAAGTGATTTATAAAAATGGAGGATTCTTGACGAAGTTTTGGGTCATTCTAACTTCACATAATATTTCATATATTTTCCAGGTTCTTTGAGTATATTTATTTTATTACAATGATGTATTAGAATTATATATGTAGTTTCATTAGCGTATTCAGATATTAGAATTGTATATAGATTTACTTAGTTTAGTTTTTACTTCTTTTTATATTACTTTCGTATAAAACGTATAAACTGTATAAAACGTAAGTAATGTCTTATCTTCATTTATCAAAAAACCCAACCCATTACCAACACTTTACATATCCTCACCAAAATTTACCCGAAACCATCACACAAAACATCATGAATAATTATCCATAAGTAAACACAACACCATCAATATTCTCGTTGTAAATATGATTATACACACACACACACACACACACACACACACACACACACATACACACATACACACATACACACATACACACATACACACATACACACATACACACATACACACACACACACACACACACACACACACACACACACACACATATATATATATATATATATATATATATATATATATATATATATATATATATATCTTACGATTTTCTGAAGTGAAACGCCACAATATTCTTGGGGTCACAGCTGAGGAGTAGCGAGGTTAGTTGCTCGAGGTTTCTTACCCTCTTATATAGGCCTACTTGGCGGGTTCGCAGGGCAGCGTCTTGAGAAGTGGCGCGGAGGTTCGGATGGCTTGTTCTCCAACGAGGTCGTTTAGGGTCAAGACGTTGGTTAATCAATTGAAGATTTCGCGACGATAAATCGGCAATTGCAGACGGAACGGCGGCAGTTGTAGTAATATGCATACATATATATATATGTATATATATATATATATATATATATATATATATATATATATATATATGTATATATATATATATATATATATATATATATATATATATATATATATATATATATATATATATAGTGTGTGTGTGTGTGTGTGTGTGTGCGTGTGTGTGTAAGAGAATTTTTCAGAATACTTTCGCATAACCGATCGTGCCGATTTTGGTATCGATGGATCCATCTCATTCTGTAGTGCACATGCATTATGCCTCCCAGCCCCCACATTCTTGGCCCCGATATCAGGGGAGGGCATGGAGGGTACCGCATGGTATGAGGCAGCGGTGGTGTCTATGCCTCTTAACTGCGAAATGACAAACATTAACTGCCTGTCACACGTAGCGGGTGGGGGGGGGGGGCTGCTAACGAACTTTGTTACATATAAGAGCTTTCCTCCGTTCGCTTCACCTTTAAGGGATTCTTGTCCATTTTCATAATAGTATCATGACTTTGCACCAGTAGCTTTGAGGGGGTGAAGGAGAACAGCTTTTCAAAAAGGGAAGGGGAATTATCTCCTGCGTGCGCGAATTTATACAGTGACCAGGATATGTTATTAAAGCAAATCCAATCATCACACACGCAGGCACATGTGGGTACATATGTGTGTGTGTGTGTGTGTGTACGTATATATGTATATATATATATGCGCGCGCGTGTGTGTGTGTGTGTGTGTGTGTGTGTGTGTGTGTGTGTGTGTGTGTGTGTGTGTGTGTGTGTGTGTGTGTGTGTGTGTGTGTGTGTGTGCGTGTATGTGTGTGTGTGTGTGTGTGTGTGTACATACATACATACATACATACATACATACATACATACATATATATATATATATATATATATATATATATATATATATATATATATATATATGGTAGAAAAAAAAACAATGTAAAAGCTAGATTTATTGAAAATGAAAGTGAGACGACAGTTTCGGAATCCACCTGGATTCCATCCTTAGGTCTGAGGATGGAATCCAGGTGGATTCCGAAACTGTCGTCTCACTTTCATTTTCAATAAATCTAGTTTTTACATTGTGGGTTTTTCTACCATAGTATCAACACGGTAGAGTGTTTTCCTCATTCAACATATATACATGTATATATATATATATATATATATATATATATATATATATATATATATATATATATATGATGCACACACATATATATGTGTGTGTGTGTGTGTGTGTGTGTGTGTGTGTGTATACATATATATATACATACACACACACACACACACACACACACACACACACACACACATATATATATATATATATATATATATATATATATATATATATATATATATATATATATATATGATGCAAACACATATGTATGTGTGTGTGTGTGTGTGTGTGTGTGTGTGTGTGTGTGTGTGTGTGTGTGTGTGTGTGTGTGTGTGTGTGTGTGTGTGTGTGTGTGTGTGTATCTACATATGTATGTATATATATATATATATATATATATATATATATATATATATATATATATATATATATATATACATATTACGACGAGGAGTTATCTTTTGTTCCCTATTTGTAAAATATCAGGTACGATAGACAGTCTCTGTGGCATACTTACCACGAAATAGCTGGAGACATTTGTCCCTGCTACATTCTAAAATAAATAAGCATAATTTTTTATGTGAATTAAGACGTTTCATATGAAGGTAATTCAAAGGCAACTTTTTAACCTTTCTGTTTTTAACACTCTTCATAACAAAACCACTTTTCTACAATAAAAGGAAAGACAAAATGCTTGGAAAGACCGTGTCTATTACACCT